GAGAGAGAGAGAGAGAGAGAGAGAGAGAGAGAGAGAGAGAGAGAGAGAGAAAGAGAGATCGGGCGAACACACACAGAGAAGTGAGAGAAAGGGAGAGGGGAGGGGGACTGTGCCAAGCTGTCCATTATGTGACTCTGACACGTGTTACTTCGTTTCTTCTTTGCCTTTCGCCTTCAAGGAAATGTTCCAAGATGCAAGCCCGGCATTATGGCTCTCATGTCAATGCTACTCCCGACAAGTCCCCCACCTGAAGAGCAACTGGCAAACAGATTGAATGCTGATTGTTTCATTCATACAATGCAAAACCTGCTTAACATCAATGGCACTCCTATAGTTGGAGGCGCCTTCCAACAGCTTCCCCGGGCCAATCGTCAATGACATCATCCGAGCCCACCAAACTGAGACTCACCCACACGCGCTTGCTTGCACACACAGCGTCCAAACTCAACAAGTAAGCACGGGGCATAGATACATGCAAGATCGCTTGATCACAAACATATCCAGAGAAGACAGCAAACAAAGTCTGATTCTGAATCTTTACGAAAAACATCAACAGGACAACGGACTGGATTTTCTCAGAAAAGTCCAGAGTACTTGCACAGCGCAAAACAAAAACGATGCTGCAAAGGTAACGGCTCCCCAAACAAAACACGCAAAGATAAAGAAAAAAGAATGTTCGGTGGTATTCCGTGCTATTTTCTTGCACGCGGGTTTTCGTCTGCTCTCAGGCTCTTCTTTTTCTTATAGTGAAAGAAGCGGCATATGATAGGGAAGTTCCTTATGCGTTTTCTTTCTTTTGTGCTTTTTTTTTTTTTCTGTTTTTGCGGGCGAAGCCGCAACGGGTCATCTAGTCACTAAGAAAACATGCAAAGAATAAGGTGTATGTGTGCTCAGGCAAATGCAAATGGCTTGTGTATGCACCCTGTGCTCAATTACACAGACATGGCAGGCCGTTCACCACTCAATGAATACAGCAGTGGAAGTACTGTCTCACCAAAACATCATAATAATCATTTAAAAATATTGCACAGTTTCGTAGTGGTGCTCATTCCTGTGCATTTAGCATTTCTGTACGGGTAGTAGGAGAGGATAGAAG